AAAGAGGAAGCAAGGAACTGTTATATTTAGTATGTTATTATTGCTTTAACTCTGTTACGTTCTTTAAGTCAGTTTCAACTTAATTATGCTTTTCTGTGGTTAAAAAATTATATCTCTAATATTGAAAATCCCTAGAATTAAAATAATCTTGTTCCGTTTCGAAGAAAACAATATTCTGCTATAAGTTGTCGTATCAGAAACAATGTTCGTGATTTATCCATTTGCAGGATAACTCTATATAACGAATAGAAGATTGAGTTATTAGTAGATCCTTCATCGAGGTAGTTTACGCGTTCTTCTGTAGGAAAACACACATTGAAGTAGAAGATAAACGACCAGATGCAACGATGAAACAATGTTAAACTATTCGCACGAATCGTATGCAAATTATCCTGAGTGACCGTTTTCGTTGGCGAGCAAATTGCGAACGATTATGAAGATTACAGGTGTCGTAACCACCTTCTCACTTGCCGTTCAATTTGTCGGAAATGAAGAGATTTTTGTGTTTTATTACACAGTAATAAGAAATGCGTAGGAGACAAAACCACCTTGCAGCGATGTTCCTGTGTTCATATAATATATTCTGCACCGTAAATCTTCACGGAACATCAAATATTATGCCGAACCTCTAATCCTTGCGACTCATTTTTCTCTTTTCCTTCTTTAAAAATTTGTTAGGATATTTGAAATTTGTTATCTCGATTTTCTTGTTACTTTTACTTTAATCCTTATACAAGAAGTTCTTTTGCGAATTGCGTAAGAAATAATCGAGTGTTCGTATAGTGTATAGAAGTATCTATTATAAATTTCATTACTAGTTACGTGTTTATGATATCATAGCTGTTCGAAGTACCAATCTTCAACTCTCTAAAACCAATCATCATCGAGTGCTAATCAAAGGTTCACGACTGCGAGTCACCTCTAACAACATCGAAACTGATCGAGAATTTAAGTTACGGCTGTTCTTCTCTGACAAGGGTACGCTTTCATAACCAGGCGTAATTAAAACTAATAACGTGCGTTTCGGCTTCCAATCAGGAAGAGCACGCTCAGAGTCAGACACGAAAACCACGCATTTTTATCGGAGGATACCCCATGCTAAGTGAAAGTCACGTTATAACCTTTAACTGTTTGTTTAATTGTATAGTAGCCATTATTTTAACATGTAGAAAGTATAGAGATCAAAGATCTGCGCAGCGATTACAGCTTTGAAACTGTCAATTTTGGATAGAGGAAGATCGACGATTAAACATTTAAGATAATGATTAATAGATTTGGATGACGATTGATCCCTTAAAATACCTTAAAATGTTATTTTCTGAACAAAGTAGGTTATAGGTACATATGTATTATGATCAGAGTTTGCAGATGAGTTTTATACGTTACAAGAACGAACGATAGATTCAGAGATAACATTCGAGCGAAGAATCGTGTCGAGAACGATCGTGGATGATTTTTACGGGCGCATCCCCTGGAAATACGGCTAATGGAATCCTTGATGCTACTCTATAGATCCTGGAATTGGCACGGAGGTAAACGCGTTTCATTGGGATTTTGCGTACACAAAATAGTAACATCTCAGGATTACGTAAATAAATTATCCATAACTTTATACTACAACATCAACATCGGACGATATTCGCCTATTATCCTTTCCGGTGTTTCTACGCAATGCGCTTTTCTATGCACTCTCAATGCGCGAATAGAGTACTGAGATATCCTTTATAGGCATTTCAGAAATATTAACTCTTCGTTATGTGTTTATTATTTCCACACATCTTTTTTATTTCATTACCTGAACCGCTTGAAAAGATTGATTTACAGCGAGTTTGAAAGATTGTTAATAGCATAGATAAACAATTCTTAAATGAAATAAATTCATTCTATGATTGTTATTTGGTCTGCTGAATGTTTCATATTTGAGATATAATTTTGCTTTAAGTAGTAATACCATCTAGTATTAGCTAACTAATATGAAACCATGGCGTGTCATGTTTCAAATCTGATTATCATACACAGTACAATTATTAATTTCCTCCAATTGGATGAAATTAATCTGATGAATTTTCTAGAAAAAATTAAGGAAAAAATTGTTCCAAAATTTCAATTTCATCCACCTTCTCTCAAGTATAAAAAGCTACTACCACCCATTTCAATTGATCCAAGAGTCTCGTAATCAGATTAATCCATACATCAATTTCGTCTAAAACATACCTGGCTTTCATATATCTAATCTATACAACAATTTATTCACTGAATCCTACAGTACACCTGCTACAAGAGAAACCATTCACAGGAGAAAATTTTCTTACGCGGACAGGTATCGGCACGAAAAGCGGTTAATGGAACTTCTAATAGCGTCGGATCGCTGCATCGAACAGTGGCAGGACTGTAGTTATAGGATAGCGTGGTCACATCTCAGGATCCCGCGTAGATTTTTCCTGAAACCCGTTTCGTGACCTCGCACATGGGCTTGTATCTTACGACAATCCTGCCTACGCGTGAGCACGTCTCACTGGCCTCTGTCCCCGTTTTCGAGAGTGGTCAGCGGCATCGCTTCCTCGAACGATCACGATGCCCAATCAGAGAGGAGGAGCACCGTCGATCACTTATCTCGTGCGCGATCCCTATCTCGAGATAACTTTTCTGATAATTAGATCGTTTAAATGATCGAAAGATCGAGATAAGGATTTGAACAAAGAATTATCCATGATAACGATAATAAAAATGAAGAAAGTGAGAATAAATCAATAAATATTTTGTTGTCTTCTGTAATTTTAGCTTGTTTCAAGCAAATGTTTTAACGTTCATCCGAAACTTCGAAGGAATAATGATTTGAAGTATGATCTATTGAATTCTATTGCGATATCTTATGATCCTTTCAAAGAACGACGCTATGGAAGTATGTAGGTATTTCTATAAATTAAAAGTAAAATAAACATTTCCCTATGTATAAAATTAATTTTAGCAAACTAGAAGTAAAATGAAAATAAGATAAAGAAAGGGGGAAGAGAGTCGATGATGACATTCAGAAAAAATTGCGAATACTTATGATGTTCATCACCTATCGCGACCTTTTGTATTTTAGCAGTTTTTTAGTTCAAAATTCAATAAATTAGGGACTACCTAAAAAGAAACTAAAGTTCACTATGAAGAAAGAATCAATCAAGGACGTGCGAATGGTATTTGTGGATCGTTCAGACGGGTAATGGAGGATTTTATGACGAGCGTGAAATTTAGCAAGTATGATGTCCGTTGAAAAGCAGCATCAGATAAAGTAACAATTTTAGAGAAGTCGCAATTTACTGCTCTGCTTCGTCCAACGATTCTTGACTGCATTTTTCGACATCCTTTCTTTCTTCACTTGAAGATGATGGGAGATATTGTTCACCGAGACGTCGATGCAATAAACGTATGAATGTTGTTTTTAATGTCCCGTTTCTAGATATTTCCGCTACACGCCACTTGATGAATACTTTAAAGCAATGTGTGCGTCGTCTTTACGATAGCAATTATAACGTTACAGTATGACGTAATAAACGATTATGCGCGCTTCGTTATGCGCTAGAAGAAGCCTGATAACTGCTTTGAGTTACATCCCATATTGCGGTATGAGATAATTTGTACTAACAAGCTATCATTTTTAAATAACCCAATATGTTTAGAACAAGTTGTAGAAAGGCCTTTCTAGATTAGAAGAACGGCTATTATAATTTACTGCTTTTCTATCATTAGTACAAAATTACATGGATGAAATTACTCAGGCTCCAAAAATGTTTATCGCAGTTACTAGCGAAATTAAAAAAAAAAGAAAACTTCGTAATATTAGAATTTTTTTATATTGCCAATTACTTTCAATAAACCGTACACTATATATTTCTAGTGGTCTCAAACATAACATTTTCAATGAAAAGACATCTTCTACTCAACGATCGTTTCATTGGAACAGATAGAGCCAAGGGAAAGGGATCTCAATCAAACAAAATTTCTAACTTGGAAGCACTTTTCCATGTTCCCAGTTATCACCAATAAATCATACAAAACCACTATCTTCAAATATTTCTAAAGACGTAAAACGTAAAATTTCGATTCGAGAAACACTTCAGAAACAGGACAGTCTCCGACTCGAATGAAGGAAAGGGCGCTTTAGCTAAATAAGGAGCGGTCGTGCATCGAGCTTCCTGGACTGTAAAGATGACGCGCTAATAGCTTCGTTTTATGATAGTCCTGAATCCGGACACCTGATTTGTTGCCGTATGTCAGAGTTGAATACTCTCACGACAGTGGAGCAGGTATAACCATGCGTAGGCGGACACTTCAACCGACAGCTGGTCTTTCACTTGCCACGTGAGAATTTAGTTTCTACGCAATGTAGTTTGAGAGCCGTCCGTCGAACAGGGTTATGGAGTACGTTTTAAAAGAGGATAAATGTCATTGAAACGCTGCCACATACCACCGGTCTATGTATTCTCAAGTTTCGTGATATGGCATCCGATATATTCATTTTTCGCGTCGAGTCGAAATGTCTGTGCGAACAGGGAGAAATAACATCGCGCGATCAATGCTTCCACATGTTATTAAGTGTTATCGATGTTAGCTTCGATTCCGTTTTGTCGGAAACCATGACGTGTACATTCACGTGGTTTTGAAAGGAAGAGCTCCGCGTCTCGGTTTTCACATTTCATAAATAGTTTGAAGTATTCAGAATTGTATATACTTTATGATTTATGAACAATACATTTAAAAATTAATTAAAGAATTTTCGTTCAGAAAGTATTTACTATATAAACATTCTTTTTGAATTTTCATTCCCGTGTTTCTCTTTAAAATAATCCTATCCATTAGCGGTATTCAATGTCGAATCGAATAATGTGAATCAGGAAATGTAATCAATGATATTAATCAACACGGCCAATGTTCTTAAAACTCAGCTGTTTATCGCAAAATAAATAAAATCGTTTCTTAATGTGAAAAAGAGAGATGAAAAGGAAAAGACTTACATCATCCCTGTCCTCGTGGAGATCATCGTCGGCGCTCTCCTCGAGGACAAAGCCCACGTCGTTGTTGTTCCTGGTGAGTGAGGGCAATTTCCTGGGTGTGAGCTCCTCGCCGTCTGTGTCTCTCTTACGCTTGCCGTCTCTATGTTCGTTCAGCGTGGTCTCATGCTCGTCCAACATGTCGGTAACCATCAGTTCCGACTCGACGCTCGTCGGGGACACGACTTCGTCCAGCGGTGACATCGTCGACCTGTCGGCTTCACCAGCTTCCAGCACGGACATGATGAGCCACTTTTCCCGGCACAGATGCTTCCTCGGTCACGATCACCAGAATTCGCGGACAGTCGGGTCTCGTCTTCGACGGGACAATTTGCGTCGGTTGCCAAGAGGTGGCAACGAGGCACCTCCACTCATCCAGTGAGTACGGACGCACGTTCATAGAGCCTTCCTTCGGTGCCCAATTCCCTTTTCTATTCACGTGATCGTTTGTTCGACGATTCGTTTTGACGATTAAATAGATACATCTGATCAGGATGTGTTTTTTTCAATGATGATTTATAAAATTATTTTAATAGACAGCGCTGCTATTAAACATTCTTAAAAGGAAACTAATTAGATTGTCATCGATGATCGAGAGTTTCCTCCCACGGTTTCAATCTGCGACACGATTCCAGGTCTATTAATCACTTTCCATTCGAATCGATCTTCTCCTATGAACATCGCTTCGTTGACATTTTATCAGAGTTATACTCGTTGAGACTTCCTCCCATTAATCACTTTCTTCTATACGAGCTTGTTTCCTCTTCGCGCATACATCTGCGTTTATGTTTGTTAAAGCCACCAGATTTGGCGAATCCCGATAATCGAGTTCGCGTTCACCCCGCTCCAAGACAATGGGCTGATAAATCGCCTGTACCCGATAACGGTGCCGCTCACCGCTAAACAGGACCCCGGCCAGAGCACACCCAATTTTCCAAACCAGCCTGACCCTCTTTTTCCTCTGGATGATCGGTCGCTGAATCGAGCAGGAATACCTGCTGCCGAGTACTTGTATACGAAACGAGAAACTTCGCGAATTCCGATCGTGAACAGGTGTTTAAAGATTTCGACTCGATGGTCGCGGAGATGGAATTAACGATTATTTGGAATTCGTTAAAAATCCTCGTTCGAGTGTCTTATTGTGGAGTGATACGCAGGAATTATGTTTCTTTGCAGCTTGATCGAAGCTCGGTTTGTGGTTTAATTAAGATGATTATAAAGTTTACACTCTTTTGGCCTGTGTTTAAATATATTCTGAACCCAAATTTACCGGAGGTAGTAAGATTCGTCGACGAAACGATCGACTTTCAGTCAACAAGCGACTGGAACGAAATCGCTTCACGTGTACGTGAACGCAACTTTAAAACCAGACGTAAAACGATCCCGCGGCGCGCGTCTCTGCGGGCATTAAAGTCTCTGACTTTCCACCGGTTTCGCTGATCGATGACGTAGAAACCTGAATTCTTGCGGGCGATCTCTTCGTGCAGTTTAATAACACGGTCGTCACCGCGTAACTATATCTTCGTTCGGTGTGATTCGCATTAAACGACGCGATCGACATCGTATCGTCGCTCGAAAATGTGAGCGAAGTCGCGTTGATCGATGTCCATGACTGCGTGATATTAGCAAAAACTATAGTATGACGCACGAAAGTGACAGAACGAATGCACTCGCAACGAGTCGACGCGATTAGATCATTCGGAAGAAGGAGGCGGTTCCGCGAGAGCCGAGCGCAAATGTCCTGAAAAGACGTAAAAACGTAGCCAGTTGCGAACAGTCACGTGGCGAGTCAAGCTCGTGACGTACGTTCCTTGCTTACTACTGTTCTAACATTCAACTTAGCCTGTTTGGCCCGATTTCACCGTGGAATCGAGTCGCGGACCGCTACCGGTAATAGGATTGCACCTATCGATACCCGCACTCTTCCTATCGGCATCACGACTTCTGATTTCGATGCTCGAAACCTCGTGCACAACAATTCGCGCATGTTCATAATTTATGTTTTAATTGATCAAAAGTGTTAAATTCTGGCTTTTCTGTAAATGTATTCGATTAAACATGACAGTTTACGTATTGATTTCTAAAATTATCACTGATAACAAGTTGATGTCGATGAAGCTGTATCTATCACCTCGTTCCATAACACGATCACCAATCATCGTTTCCATTCATTCATATTTTTAGGTAATCACCGATCAAATTTGTTGTCCTTCGATGGGTCTGTTAGCGTCTCCCATGATAGCCTGAAATTCTCTGGCTTCGCAGACACAATGTAGCAACAAGTAACACACGCGTTTTCTTTATCGATGGCCGATACGATCCACATCGGAAACAACGTGAGCCGGTTTGCAGACGTAACGCAACCGATCAATATCCACGTCGAAACATCCTCGGGCGAGAGTGCGTTGAGAGGAACGGCGAATCCCTCGGGCGTCGTGCGACGGATGTTGACGTCCCACGACGAAGATCCGCGGTCTCGATCTGAGTCACGTGGCCGCTAGTGTCACG